GTACAACAGAAGTTGAGGTACCTTAATGAATGCGGGAAAAGAAAAAGAATTTCCTCGCACGCGAGCAGAAAGGCCCCCTTGGGGGGGCCTAAAAACCTACAGAAGGCAAAATGTATTTTTTACCGAATATTATCTAAGGGGTTCCTAACTCGTGAAAGTAGAACCCTTTGGGCGAAAATTTCGTCCGTTTTGCTTTATCTCGTACCGTTAGGACGCTAGGAGGCATTTCTTGGCAAAAATAAGATGAAAACGACTAAATGGTCTATTAAGTCGCAAGAGAAGCCTTATATTGAAAAATTGTGCAGAAAGTAATACTAAAACCACACACTTGACGTCGAACCACACCCTCCTTTAGGCTCAAGGGTCCCTAGATTATTTAGTATCACTAAATCGTTGTTTTTTCATAACAGTCTGTCAAAATTCGAACCTTTAATGAAAACCGTTATGAACCAGCAGGAGTTTCATGTTTCATGTCCCTAATTTTAGAGTAATAAGTCCTTAACAAATGCTGGGGCCGGAAGGCCCTGTTCCCGAATACCCTCCTATTAACTCGTCTCGGGTGTCAGCGCCGCAGGCCTAGCTATATGTGCGCCAGGCGCGTCGCAGCGTACCAGTGTTTCGTGAGATATCGCGAAGCCTGTTACGCGAGACGTGGTCTGGCGTACATATAGCTAGTACCACTATGGACAAGTGTTTTAGATGACTGAAAAGGTGGTGTGAACCTTTTTGTGGCCACGAATGCTCCAGTTGAGGGTAACTTTAACATACAAACGATTAACATTCACCCAAAATGCATAAAGGCAGGGAGATTTATAGACCATTCCGCTCGTGCCTCTCGAAAAACAAATGCACCGGAAGTCGGCTATTTCAAAACGAAATTTAGCCTACCCAGAGCCCTAGAATCTGTTATAAAGTGACAAACTAGTTCTCATCGGAATTAATTCATGACGTTTGTACAATATTTTGGCATCATAAGACCTCTGGAGCCGGTTTTAGGTGACTTCCGGTGCATTTGTTTTTCGAAACCATCGCGATTAGCTGTTCCAGCGGAATAGTCTATTGAAATAAGTTAGAATTACGCATTTTCCACCGCCACCGCTGTGTACACACGAATTCGGACAAAGCACTGAAGCATCAATCGTCTCCAGAATCTACATCTACACGTGTTGAAGATGTCCGCTCAACAGCAACAGAGAACTGGTACAAGCGCAGAAAGAACACCTCGCTGATTTGGACACAGTTAAAAGAAGCAGGCCCGCCCTTCCGCCAAACGAAGTTGCCAGCTCCGCTTCGCTCCGCCGGCAACTCCGCTTCGCTCCGCCGGCAACTCCGTTCGGCAGGGGCCGGGCCTGCTTGGCCTGTCGGCGGCGATGGTCGGGCCTGCGGCTCGACCATTTCTGTAACGCGATTTGCTGAAGAACATGATCGAATGATGCAGCGGGCCTTTGGCTCGCTTAAACCCGTCGTCTTTGAGTTTGCCCCGTAGACACGAGTAAGGGATGTAACGGTGAAGCACCGCGACTACAACCCACCCTTCTGCTTAGAGAACGCTTTTTGGGGGTGAGGGGGCTTTCCTATTTTGCGGTCTTAATGCCTTTTTCTACAACTTATTGTTGGCTGAGCGATAGCGAAGCCTATTACTCCACTGATGATCAAAAAGTTTCGCGTCTGTCTGTCTGTGTGTCTGTGTGTCTGTCTGTGCGCACGTTAACTCGAGAACGAATTGAGCTAGCGACCTGGGATTTTCAGGGTCGTTTTGTATCATAAAAAGACAGATCGAGTTCGAAGAAGAGCATTCTAGCTCAAAAATTGGATTTTTAAAAAATCAGAAACCACA